AAGAGTTGGACATGGCTGAGTGACTATCACTACAATGTATATATATATATAATTAGTATACAATATTTGTTTTTTTCTTTCTGACTTACTTCACTCTGTATATAGGCTTTAGGTTCACCCACCTCATTAGAACTGACTGAACTGTTTCTTTTTTATGGCTGAGTAGTATTCCATTGTATATATGTACCACAGCTTCTTTATCCATTCATCTGTTGATGGACATCTAGGTGCCTCCATGTCCTAACTCTTGTCAATGGTGCTGCAATGAACACTGGTTTACATGTGTCTTTTTCAGTTTTTGTTTCCTCAGGGTTTATGCCTAGTAGTGAGATTGTTGGGTCATATGGTGGTTTGTTTCTAGGTTTTAAAAGAATCTCCATACTATCTTCCATAGTGGCCATATCAATTTACATTCCTACCAACAGTTCAAGAAGGTTTCCTTTTCTACACACCCTCTCCAGCTTTTATTGTTTGTAGATTTTTTTTTGATGATGGCCATTCTGATTGGTGTGAGGTGGTATCTCATTATAGTTTTGGTTTGCATTTCTCTAATTAAGGCACCAATAAAAGAAATTGAAGACAACATAAACAGATGGAGAGATAGTCCATATTCCTTGGTTGGAAGACTCAATATTGTGAGAATGACTATACAATCAAATGCAACCTACATTTTCAATGCAATCCCTAACAAATTACTAATGACATTTTCCACAGAACTAGAATAAAAAATTTCACAATTCATATGGAAACACAAAAGACCCCAAACATCCAAAGCAGTCTTGAGAAAGAAGAATGGAGTTGGAGGAATCAACCTTCCTGACTTCAGACTATATTACAAAGCTACAGTCATCAAGACAGTATGGTACTGGCACAAAAACAGAAATATAGACCAATGAAACAAGATAGATAGTCCAGAGGTAAAGCCATACACCTATGGGTGCCAGGGTCCAGCCTCGGCAGGATCCAGGGGGTACCCTCAGGATGAACGGCGTCAGCGAGAGAGAGAGAAGACACGTGAGACCAGCCTTGATAGGGCCAAGTCTGCGAGGGAGAGAGAGAGAGAGAGAGAGAATGACCAGACAGGGGTGTTTGCAGGGTCTGGCAGAGTCTGGCAATGCTTTATTTTTTACCATGTCTTTTATACCCTAAGTTAGTACATTTCTAAGGGGAAGATAGTTTAACATTACGTCAGTTTGTCCTTCACGAAACCAGGGTGTTTTCTACATACTTCTTTGTTTATGAGGGTCTTGTACACTATCTTCTGGCCTGGGGGCCTATTAACATTTTATACAGGTCAGGTGAATATAAACCTATTTTCTGTTTCTATGGTGACCTTAACAGAAGAGTTACAGACTCATAGGGCAACAGGACAGCATGTCACAACATAATAAAAATATGACCCTGTTAATACCAACATCAATTCTTCTGCAAAAGTTGTCAGTTAAATTTATCTAAAAGTTTTACCCCATACAGACTCTGTGGCTCTAATAAGGCAGCCTCTGCCTAGCACTCCTGGCTAATAATTAACAACTATTTCATTGTTACCACACTAGGGCTAAGCTCTTATTTTTCTAGATCTATAACTATATTAACAATGGTTTCCATAGCACAGCCTTAGCACACTAAAAGCAAAAACACAGCAAGCAAACATTAACCCAATAACCATTTTATAATAATTTTTTGTTATATTTTCTAATAAAACTCCTTCATTCCTCAAAAATGCTCTATATCTATATCTATTAGGGCTTTTATACAATCAGGTTCTTTATGCTATTTTATGATCATATTATTATAAGCAATCATGCATATTAGTACCAAGGGCATAAATGCCCTTGGCTAACAAACTACCAGCAAAGGAGTTTAAATTAAAACACTCCTTTCACCCTAAATAATCTCATAAAATACCACCACCAAAAAAACTTATAGATTAAAGTTCTAAATTAATTCTTATTTGGAAAGAAATCTGGGAAGGTCTTCTGCCTATGTTACAGAAATTAGGAAGTAGTTTATTAAAGCAAGCATCAGAAGAACAGATACCATCTTTAAAGTGAGCACTGGGGGCAGCTTTGGGGCAGCTTTTTGGAATCCCTGAAAACCTGATCCGCCTTGCCCGTCAGGCTTTCTCCCCATGAACTTGTCATGGGTAGGATCTTGTGAGCTAGCCTTTTCAGAATCCCTGAAAACCTGATCCGCCTTGCCCGTCAGGTTTTCTCCCCATGAACTTGTCATGGGTAGGATCTCGTGTGCTGGCTCCCAGCATCTGGGTACCTTATTTTTGACAAAGGGACCAAGAATATACAATAGGACAAAGACAGTCACTTCAATAAGTGGTGCTGGAAAAACTGGACAGTTTCATGTAAAAGAGGGAAATTAGAACCTTTCCTAATGCCACATACAAATATAAACTCAAAATGGATTATATATATATCTAAATGTAAAGCCAGAAACTATAAAACTCTTAGAGGAAACCATAGGGAGAACACTCGATGACATTAATCACAGCAAGTTACTCTATGATCCACCTCCTAGAGTAATGGAAGTAAAAACAAGAACAAGTGGGACCTAATTAAACTTAAAAGCTTTTGCACAGCAAAGGAAACTATAAACAATGTGAAGAGACAACCCTCAGAATGGGCGAAAATAATGGCAAATGAAACAGCTGACAAAGGGTTAATTTTCAAAATATAAAAGCTCCAGTTCATAAGTCAATACCAGAAAAACAAACAACCCAATCAAAAGTGGGGAAAAGGCCTAAACAGACTTTTCTGCAAAGACATACAGATAGCTAACAAACACATGAAAAGATCCTCAACAAAAGCTAGTACCTTCTTAATAAAAAAAAAAAAAAAAAAAATACATTGCTTGTTTGACAGCTTAAGGCTGAATTACAGAGAAAAGACACTGGTCCAAGCATAAGAGCAGTTAAGTCCTTGAATAAAACACCAACACGGGCTTCCCTGGTGGAAGTAAAGAATCCGCCTGCAATGCAGGAGCTGCAGGAGACACGAGTTGGATCCCTGGGTCGGGAAGATCCCTTGGAGAAGGGCATGACAACCCATTCCAGTATTCTTGCCTGGAGAATCCCATGGACAAAGGTGCCTGTCAGGCTACAGTCCATAGGGTCACAAAGAGTCAAACGTGACTGAAGCTTCTTAGCACGCACGTGCAAGATACCAGTACAAACGTTCTAAAGACATACACATGAGACCAAGCAAGAGTTTTAAATGCAAGAGAAGAAGGAACATTCCTTCAGGGAATAAAGAAGGAATACAGAGGATACAAAATTAGGTTTACAGCAGCTCTTGGCAACTTCATAGTCTTTCTCCCTTCTCTGTACAACTAACACAAGATAGATGTGTGGCTGTGCAAATGTACTAATTACATATTTCAGGGAGATATGTTTGTTAAAACTGTGAAAGTAATATGGTTTAATTTTATGAAAGGATATAATTTGGAAAATTTTATTTTAATCATTCTTTGGTCCCAGCTTCCCAATTCACTATATCTCAAAAAGGCACTCAACTGTTCAACACTGAATAAGTATATATGGGAAATGATGAGAAGGATTGCTCAGAGAATGACTCCAAATGCTCAGAATCCCTGGAAATGAGCTAACTGGTTGAGGAGTCCTTTTAGTGAGAAAGGCTACATACAGTCTTACTTCTCCAGGTCTCAGGGCCTATTTTCTCAGTTTTCTCAGCACTCCACTGGGCTTCCCAGGTGGTGCTAATGGTAAAGAATCTGTCTGCCAATGCAGGAGACACAAAAGAGACTTGGGTTCAATTTCTGAGTCGGAAAGATTCCCTGGAGTAGGAAATGACAACCCACTCCAATATTCTTGCCTGGAAAATGCCATGGGCAGAGGAGCCTGATGGGCTCAGTCCATGGGGCGCAAAGTGTTGGACACAAGTGAGCAACTAGACCAGCACCACCACCCAGTGCTCCCCAAAATAGCTGAGTCCAAGTTCAAACTGCTTGGTATCTGGTCCTAAATTTTACTCCCATTACCACTCTCCATCACCCAGACAAGGCCCTTGTTATACTTCTAACAGGGACTGGGGAGGCTTCTATAAGAGAACGGTCCTGAGTCATGTCTAGTTCAATCATAATTATACAAATTATATTATATATTATATACACTATGTATATGTATATGCATACATAGTAATACAATACACTACAATTTATAACAGTTTTATAATTACATATAACCATATTATATCTGATAATATACATTATCAGATAATATGGTATCTAATAATATCTATGCATTATATACAGTTGTATATATAATTAAATTATATATTAAACTTACACATATATCAGATAATACCTCCATATCTGATAATATACTTTATATTATTACATATATGATTATAATTATCATATAATACAAATAATTATACAGTTATATACACTTGTATAATAGAATTATACATGATTCTCATTGCATATGCTAATATTAATAATCATGTAATATTAGTTGCTTTCACTTATTAAACTCTTACAGAGTTAGCACATTCTTCCCATTGCCTGATCCCTATCACCTTTCTCCTAATAATGCTAACTTACTCTTCAGATTTGGCTCAGCTTGGTCATCAGTTCCTTCAGGAAGCCTCCCTGACACTGTCCTAGCCTGGGTTAGATGTTCCCACTACCCTTCTAGTTCCCTTTATTTTCTCTTTTGAGATACATATCACACTACACTGCCTGTTGATGTTGATCTCAATAACAACAATATGAGCTCAATGGAAGGAGAGAAATCAAATTGCTTTGTTGCTCCTTATACTGCCTGTGCCAGTATAGTGTCTGACACATAGCAGGCATTCAATAAATATTTGTTGCTAGGCACTCTATACAACAGGAAAAAAACTAGTATGTCCTTTGTCAGTTACTCAACTTCCTTTTCTTCAATGTGGCTATAAAAAGGCAAACTGAAGTGAAACTGATTCTCCACTGAAAGAATGCTATGCTGTGTGCAGAAGTTTACAGTGAAAAAGATGGCTCGTCACCACCTATGGATCTTGCTCTTTTGCCTACAAACCTGTGAGTTCTGACCATTGCTGATACCCCCCTAATTTTCTATTAAATTTTGGAAATTACCCTTAAGGAGACTATTGAAATGTCCTTTTGGCCTGCTTTAATAGAAACACCCTGGGTCTCAAAAGGGATCCTCCTGACTGGGAAGAGACTTAAAATCCAAACCTAAGTATTTTTCAACTTTAGAGTTTCCATATCTGAATTTGATCTGTACTCAGCCTGTAAACATCTGAGAAAAACTCCTCTGCTCAGAAACATCAGCTCATGGTAGATCTGCCCAGAAAACTAACAAAGGAATAGATAGTCCAAAACTTTGAAAAACTTAGAAGCAATTTTTGGGGGCATTAGACTGTGTTATATAAACTTTAACAAAGATATGACTTAATTATTTCATTGTTCCAGCAGATTAAAGTGACGCATGACTATAATTATCATTGTAAAAACTTCATCTCTTTAAGTTCCCTTATTTTCAAATCACATTCAAAGCTATTACTCTGCTTCTGTCCTCCAAAAACTCTAAAATTAATGGAGAAGAGAGTATTATCCCTGTTTTATAAATAAATTAGTTCTCAAAAAATGAAATGGAGAAGTTAAACTAAAAATCCTGTATTTGTTACTTAAGGCTTAACAGTAAAGTATAATGGTCAAATGAATATTGCTTGTTGTTAGTACAAAGGAAACTATGTAACATTAACATAGCTTTGGGAGTGTTTTGTCATTGCATATATTATCTCACTGAATCCGAACAATTGCCTTGTTTATATAAAAACTAAAAATTCTAAAAATAATTATAGTGTCTCTTATCAGTTTTGGAAATGCACTAGCAAATTCCTGGCGTGAGTTAGAACACAGAGAATCTAGTGGGTTAGGATTTCTGGAAAAGGTAGAATTGGTGCACTTTGGTATCTCTGATTCCCTTGACCACTTAAGGCTATGACTCCTTCAATGTGAGCTTCCTTGAGATTGTATCCACTGGGCAGGTCAAGTTTTTAGAGCCTGTCCTAGTCACCCTGACAGACAAGTAGAAAATGCAAGTAGATGGGGGAAAATATTGGATAGAACCTAAGTGGAAATCTAGGGATATCCCCAGTCTTTCAAAGAAGGGCTGACCAGGGAGGCATTTGATACAACTTAACTAGCAAAGCATTCACAATTTTTATGTACACACTCTTATGTGATACATACTAAGATCATTGAAATAAGCAAGATACATGTTCTTAATTTCATTATGCAAAAAAAAATAAGTAGAATCTAAGACTTGAGTTAAACAATTCACCTAAAATTTCACAGCCTGAAATTGGTAGAGCTGAAAATGGACATTAGTTCTGTTAATCCCAGGACTATAGTTCTTTCTGCTCCACACTTTTTTGACCTTTCAACTCATTCAGTTTTCAAGTCCCTGGTGCTCTTCAAAGGGCTACTGTACACTACATGAAAGGCAGCTCTAAGATACACTTGCCTCATCTGCTACTGCTGCTGCTGCTAAGTCCCTTCAGTCGTGTCCGACTCTGTGCGACCCCATAGACGGCAGCCCACCAGGCTCCTCTGTCCATGGGATTTTCCAGGCAAGAGTACTGGAGTGGGGTGCCATTGCCTTCTCTGGCCTCATCTACTGAAATGGAAATCAAAGTTATTGAACCAGCTAGCAATGAATCATTCAAACATCAACTTTAGAACTTTGAGAAAGTTATATAAAATCCACCTGTTGTCAGAAAGGGGAATATTTCCCTCTTCCTCCTCTTGAGTTCTGTGGCTGAACTAATAATAAAACTGACATAACAACCAAATTCTGTAAAGCAATTATCCTTCAATTAAAAATAAATAAATTTTTAAAAACTGACACGGAATAGATTGCAAGAGAAAAGAAATAATTTTTTTTTAATTTTTTCAACTTTTTATTTTATATTGGAGTATAGCTGATTAGGGACTTCCCTGGAGGCTCAGGGGTAAAAGAATCGGCCTGACAATGCAGGCATCATCAGAGACACGGTTTCGATCCCTGAATGGGAAGATCCCCTGGAGTAGGAAATGACAACCCTTTCTTGCCTGGAAAATTCTGTGGACAGAGGAGCCTGGCAGGCTGCAGTCCATGGGGTCTCTAAGAGTCAGACATGACTGAGAATGCGTGCGTATGCACACACACACCCCACCCCCCCTCACACACACACACAGACAATTAACAATGTTGTGATAGTTTCAGGAAAACGGCATAGGTGGACCCAGCCATATGTATACATGTGTCCATTCTCCCCCAAACTCCCTTCCCATCCAGGCTGTCACATAACATCCCTGTCCTATACAGTAGGTCTTCGCTGATTATCCATTTTAAATACAGCAGTGTGTACATGTCCATCCCAAACTCCCTAACTATCCTGTCCCCCCATCCTTCCCTCCTGGCAACCATAAGCTCGTTCTCTAAGTTTGTGAAACTGAGAAACACATTTTAATTTGTGCACACAGAGGTCTCATAGAAATGGAAACTAAGAAGTGGCCAAAACAAACAGCTTTTACTTTTTAGACAAAGAAACAATAAATTTGTGAAGAATCAACAGGACAAAGAAATTCAGGCTTTTGGTGCTCAGTGAAGAATGTAAACAGACTTGGGCTTGAAGTGGTAGATTAAAATAACAAGGTCTGTTTGTATAAGTTTCTTGCCCCCAAATTCCCTGTCTTTGTTGATAAGGATGTCCTTATACCTCCAGATGCTGTGAGGTTTATTTTCTGCTTTCAGGAGAACAGAGAAGAATCAGAGTTTTCCTCTTTCAGTGACTTCCTCTCAATCAATTTCTATTCAAAATAATAAATATGGAGAGTCTCCTGGTGACCAAATAGTTATGATTCTGGGCTTTCACTGCCGTGGCCTGGGTTCAATCCCTGGTCTGAGAACTGAGATTCCCACAAATGGTGCAGCCAAAAAAAAAAAAAAGAAAAAATCATATGTCATTGTGACATATTTGGGGGCAATCCATCCTGAGCTGGGTTGGGTTCAGCCAACCCAACACTGTTATTTAGACTTCCAAATGGGAGAACTGTTAGTACAATAAGAATTGTTTTGAGAATCAAAATGATAACCCATGTACAACAGTTGGCACAGTATCTGAATATAGTAAGTGCTTACCAAATACTAGCTAACGCTGTCATTTCTCACACCTGCTTTTCATATGGTATTAGGAAAGGGCCAGGGCATTCTTGCACAGAGATCCTGACCAAGATTCCTCTGTTTAGGTGATCCAAGGAACATGAGCAGGTGAAAAGATCGTAGGAATTTGAACTTAAGTGTGAGCTTTTGAAATTCCTGAAGAGAAAACCAGGGATGAAATATTCCCTTTGTCAATGGCCCATTAATGAGAGGTGGGAGTTTGTTTTTATAGCAGTAAAACCAGAAGTTCTTTCATGTACCATTTGGCTTTGTTGAATGGATAATTTTGCCTCTTAAAGATTATTCTACCAAAATTTCCTGAGTGCAAAAATGTACCCCAAATCCCTCTTGCTGCTCTTCCTGACAAAGATGGTCCCTGATATTTAGCACTGAGCTTAGATGGCAACTCTGACTGTACTTACTTCCCTGAAATGAATTCTGAGCAATTTAAGCAGCTGAGATGCAATGGGAAAAGGGAATTAGAAATCCCGTTCTTCCCTGGAAAGCACTGAAATAAGAGGAGTCTGAGTGTGCAAGCTCATGACCATTCCATGTTGGAAAAATTTTCTTGAAGAGCCAAGACTCACAGTCTTATGTTTGTGATCTCAGCTTCCTCATCATGACCTGTGAATACTGTTACTCTAACTGTCCTTCCAAGTATTCTACTAGCTGCCAGCCGTTTGGTGGAAAAAACAAGAGCCCATTGCTTTTGCTCCATACTCACTTTCTTCTATGTATTCTCTCTCATACTCCTTTAATTCTTCCTTTTCTCCATACATTTCTTGCTTCTCTTTCTTCAACCCCTTCCCTTGCTGCCTTCTCCTCTCTCATCAAAGATAGCAATAATTAACCACTTATGGAGCAGTCACTACATATCTGTCATTACTCTAAGTAGTCTGCATATGTTATTTTGTCTAATCCTCAACATGCTTTGACATGGGTATATTAATATTACAGAAGAAAATAGAGATAATTTAACCAAAAAGTAGAGGAAGTAGGATTTGAACTCCTGTCTATAGACTTAACCACTGAGTCAGTGCTGCCTTCACCACTTTGATGCTGAAATAGAATAGTATGTTATCCCTGAGACTGATGGTTATCACACTTTGGGATTTATCATGAGTGATTATTCAGCAGAGACTGGGCCTATCTCTGTACCCACCTACAGAGGAGGATGGAGGCTGGTGGGCAGGCCTTTGCCAATAATAGAAGTCTAGGTGGGCCAGCAAGGTAGAATAGCCAAAGAAATGACCATATCGAGACATGGTTCAAGTACCATTCACATGAGCATGGTTATAGAATGATTGGAATTTGCTTTTTCAAAACAAACAAAGATCCAGTATCAACAAGATCTCAGTGTTCTGCTGAATGTAGAGCACAGTCATGAGGCATTCCAGCAGCTGACACAAAAAATAGGGGAGAAAAAAGAATGAAAAAATAAATAAATCCAGGAAAGGTGAGTGGACCCCTCTAGATATCTGTTTATGGATAAATAGGCCCCAACCATCATCCTAGGATATTGGAGACAAGATTTCATGCCTGAAGAAGAGTCCTGGCAGGTGTCAATTTGCCATTAGTCCAAAGTCCTGTTAGAGAGGGGCCTTCACTTCCCTCATAGCTCAGTTGGTAAAGAATCCACCTGCAATGCAGGAGACCTCAGCTCGATTCCTGGGTCAGGAAGATCCGGTGGAGAAGGGATAGGCTACCCACTCCAGTATTCTTGGGCTTCCCTTGTGGATCAGCTTGTAAAGAATCCGTCTGTAATGCAGAAGACCTGGGTTTGATCCCTGGGTTGAGAAGATCCCCTGGAGAAGGGAAAGGCTACCCACTCCAGTATTCTGGCCTGGAAAATTCCATGGAGTATATA